CACCCCCACACACACAGGTTTGGCAATACGTTCTACATAGGCAATGCCGGAGACCTGTGGCTCCCACCGTTCGCTATCCCAGCAGACCTGGACTACCGCGATGTCGTGAAAGAAGTGCGAGACATGGAGCTGCGGGATGGGGACTTCCTCGTCTTCTCTTTCCCGAAAACTGGTGAGAGTTGCATTTATTTTCTTATTGGTGGTGGTGGTGGTGAGTTTGGCTTGTTGGTGTTGTTGTTGTTGCTGTTGTTGTTGGGTTTTTTATTATACATTTATACAAACAAGAAATTTAAAAATAACATTATATTCATAAACAAGCTGAAGTTTTCTTACAATCCCCAGGCACACACTGGAACCTGGCCATTATCGATATGCTAATGAGGAAGTCTGCTACTCACGTAGCGAAACATTACGAGCTCCTGGAGATGGGTATGGCGAGGAAAGCCAGTCAATTGCCCTCACCTCGTCTCTTGAACACACACCTGCCCTACAGGTGAGATATTGCTTGTTTTATTTGTCAGTTTATTTGGGGTACACCGAGTTCCCCCCCCCCAAAAAAAAAAAACAACCAAAAACACTACAACAACAAAACAAAACAAAAATAAATAATTCTTTTTTTCTGTCTTTCTTTCTTTTTGTTTAATGGGTCATTAAAAAAATATATTTCGCCCCTTTCATTTCTCGAGAACGTTTTGAATTCGCAATTTCAGTCGCCCAATGTTGTGTAGTGTGCGCCTAGATGACATACTCCGAGATGTTTACTTGAAAGGTGCAGGGGGAAAACGAGAGATGTCAGTTTTTTGGATAATCTGCCACTGCCCCTCTGTGAACGAAAACAATGGGTGTCCCGAACTGTATCAATTGGAACAAATTCAAATCGTCAATGTACTCTGGGTATGCTATTAATGGAACAGGCAAATCATGAGCACGCTCTGCTAGCTAGCACATGCATTAGGTTGTAAAATGTATTTTGATTGAGGCATATTATTTTTTATGTGTTGTTTGTTTCTTCTTGTTTTCTCTTAAGACATGTTCCAAAACAAGCATTCGACAAGAAAGTAAAGATCGTTTTGCTCCATCGAAACCCAAAAGATGTCCTTGTTTCTTTCTACCACCA